GTGCACGTTTTTCCAGTCCAGATGTCAACAAGCCCAGAAAGAACAACCCAAAATAACATGTCCCATTTTAACCCTGATCAAATAAGCCAACTATGTTCCTTCCTTTTGCATAAAACAATCTTGCTCTTTAATCCATTCAAATGATTATTGATATTCCATATCTCAACTCTTAACTGTAAGCAAATCTAGTGCACGTTTTTCCAGTCCAGATGTCAACAAGCCCAGAAAGAACAACCCAAAATAACATGTCCCATTTTAACCCTGATCAAATAAGCCAACTATGTTCCTTCCTTTTGCATAAAACAATCTTGCTCTTTAATCCATTCAAATGATTATTGATCCTTGTCTCGAATTTCTTCAGAACTTTAACAAGCATCTTTTGTAAGTCCAGCAAGAAGAAATTATTTCAACTGCTTTCTGGGATTGGCATTTTTATTTCCTTCTTAATTTTTAAAGCCTCATCCAATTTTTTTTTTTTTTTGGTATATTCAATGGCAAATTCTTGTTCACTTTGTTCTCCACAATCATGTCAGATAAGGTTTGTTGCAAATCTTTTTTTCTGTAATAGCTTCTTCTGGGAACAAACTGTACATAAGAACACACAATATAGCTGATATTGTTGATTCAAGGTCCTGGTGCAATTCCTCAAAAATATCTTTGAACACTATTTTAAATTGCTTATCTTGTTATGTCTCCAATATCGAAAATAATTTTTCTTTCCCACAAAAATGCATTTATTCTTTAAAATTAATTTCTAAGTCTTAATATTCAAAGTTAAATATTCCAACATTTACTGAGCCCTTAATCCGTTTAAAACTTTCTATAGCCAAAACCTTGTCTTGCTTTTTGCTGATTATTTTAAATTCTTAAAGCTTATAAAGATATAGTTTCATTTTCTTATATTAAGGATTGAAGGCACTCACCTGGTGTTTCCAACCTTTTCATTTTGAAGGTATCTAACTTCTTTAAAGCAATTAATAGGCAATTTCCTAAAGTGGTTAGCAAAGGAAGTGCTTAGTGTCCTTTGAAGGCTCTGACTCTGGCTGGAGCAAGAATGAAAATTCCCTCGTCTCCCGGTTCTCCCACCCTCCGGAGACCACTGCCTTGCAGTCTTCTCATGAGAAGCAACCATATGGAGCACAATGTGGACAATCTGGCATCTGCTCTTTCTCTAGAGAGGGTTAAAGAAGCTGATATACTTGTCAGCTCTTTGTTCTTAGCAGCAATCATCAGCTCCACTTTTTGCAGAGCCATCTTCAGTTTGCATTATTGAATACCTAAGACATCAAGAACATATATTTTTTTCTGACTAATAATATTTTCTAAAATAATTAATACTGTCTGCAGGAAAAGAAAGAAAGACAGCGTAAGCTCAAAAGAGAAATGAGAGAAAAAGCAATGAAAGAGCTTGAGAGAGTACAGTCAAAGGAAAGAGCAAAAGTAATGTATCAGGAATGGTTGAAGAAAAAGAACACTGAAGATCTTCAAAAAAAGAAAGAAGAAAAAGTAAGTTTAACTTAACTTTTATTTGAAGAGAACCTATAGCTGAACTTTCTTTTTTGATGTAAGTTATTAACATAAAAAAAATGAATGCGTTTCTTCCTGTTCATACTGGCTAATGACAATTGGATCTTGTTTCTTAGGCTTTACCATTTGGCGTAACTTGTGGTGCCTTTATCTCAATAATATTAGTCATTTTTTTCTTGCAACATGCAGATACTGCTAACATAGTGCATGATCTCTTCTCATATTTGTGCAAAATTGCTATCTGGCTGACTTTGCAACAGAAGTAATGAGTGATAAATGTGTGTGTGTGTGTGTGTGTGTGTAGATAATCCACATCCTACAAATCCAGCCATGCATGGAATAAGGAACAAATACAGTTAGATTTAATGAGTTGCATCTGTTCATTTTCCAGCTACCCTACATAATTCAATTGTTACCAGCAGTTACATAAAAATAGCAGGATTTTTAAAAACAGATATATTTTTTTGCTCAGTTGTAACAATTCTGATCAATTATTATTCCTAAATTTTGAAGATACACTCTGTAAATATTGATATTGGTAGAGTGGTATGTAGTTCGGAAGAATACACAAGGGTACAGTGATTTATACACTGGTTTTACCGAGTTGTATCCAAGTTGCAGAGATATATAGCTGGAAGAAGCAAACTTTTGGGTGGTTTGAAATGTTGTGATATGCAGTATGCCATTGGGCAGCTTGCCTTTTCACAAAAAGCTGCTATTGTGGTCACAGTAGTTTTTGGGGGGGGAGGGGGAACTACCACAAAACAAATAGGTGAGGCTGCTGTCTACCAACCAGTTTACTTTTAATTTTTTTCTGAGCAGGGGAATATTTCCGAAGTATGTTAAAGCTATTTTTTAAGAATGCCTATGAGACCTATAAATAAAAATGTTAGAGTATTCAATTTACTTTGAAATATACCAGCTTCCCATTTCAGGAATCTTTTAAAACATAGGACAGGTGAGGCACTTGTAAGGAGCAAGAGAAATATCTGGATATTGGGTCCCATATCCCTGTTATGTCATATTCTTCTTACAACCCCCTCTTTATATACATCATGTTCACTGAACCCAATTTACACTCCTGACTTTGGCTTTTAATCTCCTTTCAAACCTAAGACTGAAGCACATAAAAATCTCCTCTCTCCACAGTTGTGAGGTATGGGGAAAGGATGTTTTCAGTGATGACGTAACACTTGTAGAATATTTTTCCCACAACAATTCATTTTGCATATTTGTCAGTATCATTTTAGCACCGAGAAGGGGTTTTATATACATGTTAATCTAGGCTTTCTAATATGAGTTGCCTTTGAGGTCTTTTTACGCTATATTCATTTATTACTGAATTTTAAATTGTTATTGTATATTTTGTCCTGAAATATCTGTTACAGTGTGGCCAATAACTAATGTGAGTAAAATGACTAACCAGTTAAGTAAAAGAGTAGCTGAAATAATAATTTTATATACATGTACACACATTCATTATGCTATTCCCTCTCAGACAAATTGGTGAAAAGACCAAAAAGATTATAGCTGGGTGGAGTTGAATTACTCAGAAAGGGATGAGAAGTTTAAAGAACATAAGGTAGTGCGTGGTCATGGAAGAAACAAGGATTTTTTGCAAGGATTCATGTATTCATCAACTCTACTCCAGAAGATCAGACCACCTTCTTTTAGACTTAGCTTTTCCTTCCCTATTCTGTTATTTTTGCAAACACAGTATCATGTTTTTAAAAATTCCATTCATTAAGTTATGCTTTTTACTTTATATTCTTCTTACATTCCAAATTGCAGTATTTCATATGCCATGCTCATCATCAATACATGCAGCCATGAATATTAACCTCCACTGAGGCTTTCACAAAACTTTGTTTATCTATAAAAAGTATATGGCTGCCCAACTTGAACAGTGCAGCTCTGGGTAGCTTATAATAGAAAACAAACCAAGATAAAAACAAAAGTGAGTTAATCAATTTTTAATAAGAAAAAGAAAAGGTAGACTGGGTTGTTAGGGTAAGTTACACCCATGGCACACACAGGATTCCCTGCTAGTATGTAAGGACAAAATACTGATAGGTTTTGGCAGATTTTGCTAGCACGTCATAGACCAACTAAGCCCAATTCTATCCTAAGCTTGCTCACATGTTATGCAAGCCAGCATCTCTAATCTAAAGATTACCTCAGCATACTGCTGCCTTTGTCCCACCAGCTAGAAGGTAGATCCTGTGTATTGATATACTCAGAATAATGATTAAATTGTAAATGTATTGCTGAATTTAGATCTGGTCTGGAAGATTTAAGCTCACTATAGTATATTCTGTTACAAACACCTTTAAACCTTTTTAATTTCAATGTGAGAATTAAACATGTGCTTAAATATCCAGTTCAGGTCAGCATGACTTAAAAATGTAACTATAATCAGATTGTTCCTAGAGCAGTCAATTGCCTTGGTGAAGGAAATTTTTGCAAGTTGCTAGTAGAAGGCACTTTGTATTTAGACTTTGTTACATACCTGTTACCTTTCCTTTTGCAGGACAAGGAAAAGCTACGGGAAGCTGAATTACAGGAGAAAAAGGAAAAATCAGAGAGGATGTTCAAAGAATGGCTGCACAATTCTAAAAACAAGCCCCGCCCAGCATCAGCTGGCTATGCCTATGTTAATGGGAAACTTGCAAGTTTGTATCAGTAACTAGTCAACTATAGCACAATAGCTCCTCAACTTGTATAGAAATGTTGATTTTCAGAAGTTTTCTTTAAAATGTTAATGAGCTAGGTGGTAAATGTTTTGGATGTGAAGATGCATTAAATGCCAAGGCAGGCCTTCAGGGCACACTTAACTGCAAACAGGTGACCTCATATGTACCCATACCATACTTACATACATTTTCACACACAAATATATCCTTGACTTCAGCATTCATATATATGCACACAAATCATTTCCCAGCATATACTTTGCATATACATGAATACTACAACTCCACAGCCGTACCAAGATAGGATCATACAATAACATATGCCTACAGTTATAGAAAGCTTTGCTTCCTTGTTGAAAGTAGATTAAAATATGTCATTGTATTGCTGTTGCCAGTGAAAACGTTTTTTTATCCTCCTGGTCTAAGAAGAAAAAGGGAACCGTAGAGGTTTCTTTCTCATTCCAGTGAAGAACACTAGATAGTATCATGCAGCCTATCAATTAAATGATTAGTGGATTGCCTGGGACCAACCAGGCTAGGGGTGGAGATATATTACAAAATCTCAGAGAAAGGACAGATGCAGCTGAAGAAGATATGATGGTTTCTTGTTTGCTAAACAATATAAAAATGTGTGTACATATTATAAGTGCTGCTGCCATGAAAGTAAATCCTGATTAATATTGGAAAGGAATTGTGCAACTTATAGACTAGTGCTGAAAGGAGTATTAATGGCTTTAGGTAAATAAGACTTTTTTTTTAAAGTGCAATTTTATGCAAAATAATACAGTCAAGAAAAGCTCTTTAAATCTTCAAGTTATCATGTCTTAGTATCAAATAATTTATAATTCATTATTTTCTTCAGTTTGAAGATAAAGTTTAGCATACATACTAGTTCTTAACTGTGTTGCTTTCTAAACATTTCAGCATATCCAGATGGAAATGCCTATCCAGCTCCAGCCTTTTACAACCCCATACCTTGGAAACCAATTCCTGTGCCTCCTCCTAAGGAAGAGAAGTATGTTTCAGTGAAGAAAAATAAGAGGCCTATATCCAGTCAAACATGTAGATCTTCTTCAATGCTTTTTCAGAAATCCAGGAATAATATTTATCTTGGGTCATTATACAGAATTCAGAAATAGCATAGGGATATTGTAAATAATATTACTGAAGTTTAAAGTGTTATTAAGTGTGACATGTAAGCATCTATGATTTCTTAGCTTTTGATATTTTTTTTTTCATTGTTAAAATAAGGCGCCTAGTAGAAAATAAATATTATAATATTTGCATTTTAGATATAATGTCCTGTGAGCCATATCTTAATATTAAATACCTTAAATATTATATTTACATATACAACTTCTCTAGCTTTTGTGCTTTTTTTGAGCTAGATAATGTTAGGAGGTCACCACAGTGCAATGGAAAAGTAAGTTGTGACTCAAAGCTAACAATAAGGTTTTGCATTTTAAATCCATTTGGGCCTATAAAGCCAATTCACTGAGTTGGGTTTTATCTAGCTATGCTTATAAAACTAATTTGCGGAGTATGGAGTTTGAGAATATTTTAATACCGCTTTATTGCTTTGTGAAATGTGTCCCTTTACTATGAAATAATTGACATGTGTTATATTGCAGCTGTAGTACATTTTCTGTTCGTTTTAGTTTTTCTGATAATACTATTCCTTTATGGTAGCTAAATGTATAAGTAATAGAATATTTATTTTAAACCTTAAGCTAACAGAAGGAATAGGATTTCTTTATAAACTTTATTTGCACTTGCCAGTAAATACAATTTGTAATTTCTAAATAAAGGTTTTATTTTCTGTTTCATGTTTTAAAAACAATTATATAAGGAATAAAATAAACTGTTACAAGACTAATGATTCTCATTAATGGCTTATAAAATATAATACATTTCAAAGGATAAAGTTGTTGATAATAGATAAGCAGTAACTACATCTTCTATATATACATTTTAAAGTAAGGAGAAAGCTTATAATAATAATATAATACACAACCGAAGTAGATTTAGCTATAATGTATTTATCAGTACCGAGGAGAAACTATGGTATAGTCATAATTTAAAAGCAAGGGCTGTTTATCCAGACATGCTTTCCAAATATTCTATAGAGAAGAAGTCACTGCAACAGTGCCTGATAAATAAGATGAAAATTGTTTTATAGAACGTTTTCACACATTTTAAAAACTTGTGATGGAAATAGATACAAAAGGAATCAAACATCTATGAACAGAAAGAAATACAATTTCTGATACAATTGGGTGACGCCAACATTACTAGAAAATTGATTATATTTACAATTATATCCCATTTGGCATTAGCCAGAAATCCTCCTTTGCATGCATATTTGGAGATTTTGAATATTACAGTATGTCTGTTCAAACATTTACACAGAAACCTTGGCGAGCCAGGCCATTTTTATAATGTCTGAAGAATAATTTTAGCAATCTTTTTTTTCTTAATGACCTGAAAGAGGCTTATTTCATCATATTTTGAGTAACCAAACAAGTATAATTTTTGAAATTACTAGAGCTATAATCCTTTTTCTACACATTTTCTGTTCTTATAGAAGATATTGCATCAGTCATTTAAACAGAGACTCTTGTAGAGAAAATACTTAGAAATGAATCATGGATGAATTCAGTTTGAATCTCATCAGCATACCCAGTTTTTTAATTGCATCAGACATCAAGTTTGACAGAGTTGAATCTATTCACAAATGTTTATGCTCTGTGTTGTCTCCAGATGTTATGGGTATTTTTTAAATTGCCTTGAAGAACATGGTGAATGGCTGCATCCAAATTGCCCTTTTGTAAACACAGCTGACGGCAGTAATTCCAGTGGTGTTGGGTGGTTGGGTCAAACATGATTTCCCACAATGCCTCTAAAATCAAATAACTTCAGGCTATTGTGGAAACTGCTCAGCTATCAAATGCTCTTTTCAGGACTACAGAACTAAATAAGACAGGCAATGCAAAATGTTACGCCTCAAGCAGTTGCTCAAGAGTGCCTCACATTGGCATAGGCCCTAAATGTATGCATTACCTCTGCATCTTTTACTGCTTTTCCTTGACTGTTTACTGGGTGATTTCAAATATGTCAAGATGTATAACCTTTTTATTTTAATAAATACCTGTAATTGTAAGGTAATGACTATTTTCAGAGAAAACTACAATTGCTGAAGTTATTAGCTTCTTTGTATTGAACTGATGTACCTCATTCATCTTATATCCTATGAATTCTGAGGAAGATTATGCTGACAATATAGCATACCACACTCAGCTCAACAGTGCTCTGGCATTCTATTAAAGAAGCATGATTGTGCTATGGAAAAAAATGGGCATAAAGAGCTTGTAAACCAGGCTCCCAAACACTGTGGGCATAAGCACTCCCAGCAGATCTTCAAGGGCCAATCCAATCTATAATACATGGCTTGCTTAGGTAGTGTTACTGGTAATTATTGTAAAATAATTTTAAGTGATACTTTTATCATATATGTTAAGTGGGGATTGTTATGCTTATTCTCTTATCTTACTCACTGAATCTGGTCTTTGTAATTGCAGAGTTTCAACCCAAGTCCGTCTGTTTGGGAATGGTGAAGACAAGAACAGTGAACCTAAGGCTGTTAGTCATTAATTCCTCTGCTTTCCTTTCCTAGCATTCATGAAATGCATGAAATAAACAGAAGGCATAGCACAGCATTACTGTGAGAGGTAGTATTGATGGGAATGTAGATGGGGGGTGCAAAGTTAGAGACAATATTAGTTATTCTTTTCCATTGAGTACAACTTAAGAAGGAAATACTTTGTTCATCCGAGTTATTTCTTCCCCATGTCTGAAGCTATGAAACAGTTTCTCCTTTGTTTTAGTATTACTGAGTCTGGGAGGAAGCAAAATAACCATGAACCATGTGATCTAACCAATCAGTATATGTATGAAATATGCATGCATCTGCATTGTATGCTAATTGTGGCTAAAGGGATATGTTTTTCTGCATTGCATAATGTATAATTAGCAATTCTCTCTAAAGCTTCCTTTCAAATCACTGAAGGGCTTAGGAGAATGCTGCAAAATGCCAAGATGAATAAGAATGAAAATGTTAAAAGGAAGCTTATGTACAGGATTAAGAATTATCAGTTAGTCCTTTATTAATTCTATTGCCAGTGGCTTTAGTTGAAAAAATGCATCACAAAATTCTAGCCCAAATTTATTCTGTTAATGTCTTTTCATGCTTTCAGTGATAATTTATTTCAGGTTAAAACATTTAAAATAAGAGTATCAAGAGGAACGTAATCTTAGATAAGAGATTAGTGATTAAGACAGCAGCTGAATCAGTCAGTTACATTAAACGCTATTAAGAGCTAAAGAAAAAGATTGTTTTGGCTTCTAAAAACCAATGGAATTTGCTTAGAATAGTGGTCATGAAGAATGAATGCCACAGATGGAGTAGCCGTGCCATAACAGCTGTATTTCTGAGAGCCCACAGAAATTTTAACCTTCTTATACTGTTCCTACTGAGCATATAAGTGCACATAATCCTTCCACTGTAGCCCTGTTCCCATTTTCATTATGAGAAATGCTGAACATGGGAGTACTCGGAATAACTCCCCATGAATATCAGCCAAATTAGATCAGATGCTGCAGATGTGTACATTTAACGAGAACAGATGCAAAAGCCAAATTGGGTTGGCTTGCATGGGAGCTAAAATTGTTATGATGCAGGATTGTGGCTCAAATGAAAGCTAATGATGAATAAGTTTCTGTGCTGCAAATATTTACACTCAACACATGGGTGCCTGAAGCAGTTGGTATTATTATGATGATTTTGGCAGTAGGGTTATGCACTGAATATTCATGACTGTTCAAATAGGGCTTATAACATCAGGTAATTTCCTCTGGATGGAGAGAAAACTGGATTTACAGCACCTTTTATATGGCTATGGCTGCTTTATTTGGCATTTATTGATTTTTTGAATCTATTTACACATTTGTAAGCTTTATATCCTACTTTTTCTCTAAAAGTTCATGTCAGTGTACTTGCTCCAATTTTCCTTACAGCAATAACCCTGTGGAGTAGGTTGGGCTGAGAGCAGTGATTAGCCCAAAGCCACATAGCTTCTCTGATATAAGACAGATTTGAACATGGGTCTCCGCAGGCCTATTCCAATACATTTAACTCCACAGTAAAAAGCAAACAAACAAAAATGAAGAAGGGAATAAGGTATTTTGGAAGGTGTAGGAAATTTTCAAATGGTAGACTGAATTATATAGGAGAGAAATTTCAGACACAAAAGGTTATACTTTGCCTTTTCAAGATAGCCTCCCACATCACTTTCCCAGGAGTTGCAGTATACGAAATACAATATTGTATGAAATGGTTGAGACATATTTAAAATTAAGTAAAACACACATTATTTCAAATTCCCACACATCTAACAAGAAATAAGTTAGAAATCATCACATATTGAACACCGTATTCCTCAGGCTATGTTTGTTGGTAACATAATATAGGGTCTGGATTCTCAGGAACCCAGAAAATGTGATTAAGCCAGTAAGCAGGCTAATGTCATTTGCCCACTAGCAACTGTGAGTATCTTCTACAGTCACACAACTATCACTGTGCCAAAATAACTAACGAAGAACAGGTTTTATACCACTTCAGTGATGGCTGGGTGATGTCATGAAGATGGTATAAGTCATTAGTGAAGAACAGTCCTCCGTGGGCTCTGTGAATGTAGCCCATCTTTACTTTGGCAAGTGTCGGGTAGCGTAGGGGGGAAAAAAAAAAACAACCACCTTGATTGCTTGAATTACAATCAAGTCTTGTCTAGAAGTGACTATAAAGTCCCTAAATTTGTCTATATTCACAATCTCTAAGAATTATATATATATAAATAACATATATATATCCCACTCTAGATATGTTTAGCATAGTAATCATGACTCCTATATTTTTTAAATATAAGGAGCTAATGTATTAGTCCTCCTACAATTAAGCCTACAGTAATTTGTTTAGAAATTACTGAGCATAGCAAGGTTGTGGTCCTAATAAAACCTATCACTGACAGTTTTGAAATATCTCTTGGTGCTATTTTAAAGACTATATCTTTAAATCTTACCTTGACAGTTTAATTTGCACTATCCAAAATATAATAGGTGTTTATTCTTAAACAAACAACCCTATGTTGATGCAAACACACTTTAAAATTAGAGAAGGCAGTACTAAGATACCACACTATCTGAGATTTTCTCTGCTCCAACAATTCTATACCAGTAGAGGAGGGGAGAGGAGGGCCAGGTTAAAAATGGATCTTTTTCTGCATATTTAATGTTATCTTTGCCTTCAAATGTCCTTGGGAGAGAGGTATTATTCTGCTTTGCTTGTCGAATGTGTTGCATCTAGAAAGATAAATCTCTAAAAATAGCAACTTCAAAATGAAAGCTCTTGAACAATCTTATCTATGGCATTACAAATGCAGTTTTATACCTTCCTGAATAAGGTTTTAGGCAAGATTGGTCATGAGTGTACATGTTAGTTTCAGTTCAGTCAACATAATGTTCTGATGAATAGAAGAAGAAAAGTATTACTTAGTTGGCTTCCAAAATGATACAAGGCATACATCTGAAACTTTGTTTTAAGATGAAATATTGAAAAAAGTGTTGTTGGTTTAAAATAAAGTAATCCAAATAATTCTAAATTCTAGCTAAAAGAAATTGTTTAAACAGGCAGAAATTTTGGAAGTGTGATATTGGTGTAATGCTACCATAAGATTTGTTGAAAGTCTTCCTGTTTGCCCAGAATCTTCAGTCTTAAACATGTATTTAAAGACTGGAAAAAAGGATATGTCTTTATAATTATTAACTGTCATATGCAAGTGGCAGTATCTCCCAGCTTTGTCAGTGGGTAGGATAGCAGGCTTTTACTCTTGATTTTATTTTATTTTATTTTTATTTATTTATTTTATTTATTATTAAATTTATTTTTGCTTTGCACATAGCCTTTAAAGAGGGAGGTAAAGACAAGAAAGATCCAGCTGCAAACCTGCTTTGTGAGGAATCTAACAGAAGTCAAAGTCCCCATAGAAGAGAATATATGTAGCTCAGGATTGAACTGTGGCATCCTTGGCACTCTCTTAAGCTTGGTTGTTTGCTTGCAGATGTTTCATTACCCAACTAGGTAACATCATCTGTGCTAGTGATGTTTGCTCCCTATTTATATACAATAGCTTGCCCTGCCAGTGTTGGTGGGGGTGTGGTTTTCTCCTTGGTAGTTCCTTGATTAGGGTATTGTGTAAGGACTGTAACAGTCACTATGTAGGACAGACAGAAGACTAGCAGAGCGCATCCATGAATACCAACTGGCAGTCAGAAGACACAATGAAAAGCAAACCCAATTTCAACTGGGAAACTGAGCATCCTAGATCAAACCAAATCCAAAAATCTTAGGGAATTCCTGGAAGCTTGGCATTCAGACAGATCAGCCATCAGTAGACACATAGAAATAAACCATATTTACACATATTCAAAAAGCTAAGAAGGAAACAAAAAGACCAGAACACATCCTCTCTAGCAGCCAACACCCATATAATCAGGGATTAACACCAGGCAAACAAGGAGAAAACAATACCCTAATCAAGGGACTGCCAAAGAAAAAACCATACCTCCACCAACATTGGCAGGGGAAGCTACTGTATATAAACAGGGAGCAAACCCCACACTTGCTAGCACTGATGATGTTACCTAGTTGGGTAATGAAATGTCTGCAAGCAAACAACCAAGCTCAGAGAGCCTGAAGGACTCCAAATGTCAAAGTGCAGCTCTCCCCTGTTGCATCCTAATGTCACTCCTCCAGAGTACTGTGTGGGTTTGCACCAGTTGCTGTTTTATGGAATTGCATGGGATTTTTTTTTACATTGCTGGTCTCTTGGCATTGAGACTAGCGAAGGGAGGTGCAGTGGTTGTTGGTGAGCTGCTTGTAAGATAGTAGCCTTTGTTAGACAAGTTTGTCAGATGCATTTAAAGGAAGAAAAATCAACTAATGATTAACTGAGCATGTCTTGCACAGACTTGCCCATTTCAAGCCAATGAGACTGGAGATGCGGACAAGCCTCCCACTTGGGATCTTGTTGTCAGAATTGGAAATGGGGAGGGGATAGATCATCTTGGCTTTATAAATAGCAAGGGACCCTGGGTTGATACAAGGGAAAGTTGCCCCAAAGATTGTGGTATAAGGATCAAAGCTCCTGCTAAACAAAAGTTGGCTACAGAATGTGTAACATTGGCCCAGCAGCCTGCCAGAAGCAATGAGTATACACCTTATTTTCTCTGCCTGATAAGGGTATCAACAGATGGTTGGAGGGTATATCTACAACATAAGACACCAAGCTTGTCATTGTCATCATTCATATATATATATGAAAGAGGGAATGTGTATATGTGCTGACTTCAGCAGCTGCCAAAAGAGTTAATGGAGTGTGTCAGTGTGGCTGCTCCCACTTCCCAAAACTGTTCACATCTGCTTTGAGGCTTAAAGTCAAAACAAAATCAACAGTTGTTCCCATATCTCTAGCCTATCAGTTTAAAAAATACTATTAATAATCATTACTAGTGGAGACCCAATAGACGCCTATAGACACAGGAAGGGGTACAAATGACAAAACATGCACCATGGCACAAACTTCACCCCTTATATACTTGTGTGTGCCTTTGTGACACAAGTATGAAAAGGCAGAGCTTCTATTATGACAATGCAATGCCATGTCAACATTTTGTCATTATCGTAGTTAGAAACATACTTATAAAAGTCCCTCTTCCACACATAATTAAATGTCACAAATCAATGTATTTCTTGGTTGCCGCTTCCTTTTGGTTAAATTTCACAGTCAAAGCCCTAGGCTCAAACTTACAACCAGTTCTTTTAGTTTAAGTAACAATAAAATAAAGGAATCTGAATCTTGGTGTTCTCACTGTTCTCTGTTAAGAACATAGTGAAAAAAATATATATAAATATTGGTCTATTATTCTTTGTAGACATGTAGGAAGAACCATTTTAAACGGAATGGTGATAGGTGAAGAGTCATCTCCATAATACTGTATTCCAAAAGCATTTACTTTGTTCTGATAAAATTAAGTGAACTGAATAGGACCCTATATGGGAATTAGGAAAATGGTCCTAACAGATGCTTTGCCTTTACTATGATGCAAATGCTTACATACTGTATGTATATTACATAATGGCAACTGAACATGTATATTCACCAAGGAGAATATTTTAAATGTGCCTATATGCTTCTCCCAACTGAAGAGCACATGTATAGAATTTTACCCACAAGAGCCACCAACAGAGCAGTAATCAATGGAATAAATAAATGAAAAATTACAGACTTGAGAGAATACATTTTTTAAAAAAAATTAGGCTGCAAGAGTTGCCAACTGCTGCAAGTTAAGCAATTCAAGTCTTACTTTCCATTTCGTTTCTAAAAAATAATATATTTTAAAATAAAAATAATAAATTAGCATCTTAACTATCAATAAGCAAGTATAACCAAAAAAAAAAAAAGATGTTGAGGCACCATCAGATTGGTGTGTCCTAGCAAGTCTTTGTCAGCTTTCATGCCAGATCTGTTTGCTGACCATGGTGGTCATTTACCCTTCGCTGGATGCCAGGACCTGAACTTCAGCCATGAAAATTATGTCAAGCAAATAGCTGACAGACTCTCTTGGGTAATCAGAGTCAATAGGAGGGAGTGACCTACCTTCACAAAGCATGAAACATCTTTGGTTACAGAGTGAGAGACTTCAAGTTAGCCTATCTGCTTGAACTATAAACGCCTTATGGGGTTCAAATTCATCCATATACAGATTTTGCCCCAGTGGAGATAATGCAGAGTAATTACTTAAATTTTTGGTGGGATTTTTTTTTTTTTTAGCATTTTAAAGTTTTTCAAACTCAGCACACTTTGCCTAAAATCTAGTAGGCCTTTAATTAAGACCTACTAGATTAATTAAAGGACTACTATTAATTAAAGGATCTTACACTTTAATTATTGAATAGATTTAACATTATCTTCAGATTCCTTAGCATCCCTAGTCTTGATTGACTACTTTTACTTTCAGTGGAGGAAGAAATTTTAATACAAGATCTTAATGACTGAGGTTTCTTGCCTCAGTGTGTAGCTTCTCTAAGGATAGCTGAAAGGGTTCCAAAACAAGGATTAAGGGATACTGAGCTTCAAATGATTCTGAGTTGTTTACATTATTTAAATCATTAATCACAACAAGAATTTATATTCCAGGTCTATATCCATGTCTCCTTATCTCAGGATTGTGGAAGATATTAGAGAGCAGATGTTGCCATATCTCAGTTAAAATCTGTCTTTCTTCATGTGGCATGGGGAAAATAGAATCCATTAATCATACCTGATGTTACATTACATTACATAACATTACATATTTGGTGTTGGAGAATGCTTCTGAGAAGACCATAGGTAGCCAAGAAAACAAATGAATTATTGAACAAATCAACCCAAAGCTCTCATTCAAGGCACATATGACCAGACTCAAATGATCCTACTTTGGACACTAATGCAAAAACCTAGCTTTCTAGAGAAGTCTATAATGCTGGGAAAGGTGGATAGACTCAATTACTGTGGCAATTGAGGGTTGGGAATAGATCATCCTGGAGAATATCTATCTACAGTATGCAGCAGATAAGAGTCAACACTGACTTGATGGTACATAATTAGTCAAGACAGATGCTAATATGATTTCGATATATAGACTCACAAGAGAGGTACCTTAGACCGTTTTTGAGGAAAGGATCTGCAGTCATAGAATAGTATAAAATCAATGTTTTCCAATCAAATCAGAAGGACTCAGTTACAGACAATGTAGCAAGAGGTTGTTTTTTTTTAACAGCAATGAAGGTGAGGCAATATTTTGTATTGGAATGTCAGAAAGAAGCAATGGAGTGAGCTGTTCATGTTTATGTTAACACTGCACAAGTATTATTTTTCTTTTGTGTAAGCTGCTCTCTGACTAAGCTGAACAGAAATTAACCAATTAGAGTAAGGAGAGTTAGTATGGAAGAAGGAAGAATGGACCATTTTGGTGTAGTAGAACGGTTTCCGTGACTGCATACACTTAGAGGTCTCCTAAACATTGTAAGATTATACATGCTTTTAGAAAGTATATTTATTTACATTATCAACATTGCAATTATATCAGCTACTTCATTTGTACAACAAAAACACAGCATTTTAAATTAAGCAAGCTAGAGTTAATATGAATTCTAAGCCCCTTTAAAAAAATTTCTTCCCAACATTCTGTTGAGTTGGAAAGAATAAATAAGAAACAGAATCTTCATTTTTCTCATATGAAGGAGAAATACATTTTATAATTAGATCATCACTTGGGAATACTTGGGAATACTCAAAGTTAAATAGCTGTGCACCTACTGCCTATAGTCATATAGTCTATAGTCATTAGAATGAGACATAGTGTGGCTTGTATAACACACCAAACCTCAAAGTATTCAACCATAATTTCACCCCCCCCATGTGATTAGTTTATGGTTCAATATGTCATTTTTAATATAATTCTAGTATACTAAATTAATTAACAGAAGTAAAATATGAATGCATACAATAGTATTAATTAAGTAATAAAGTTTCAAATATCATTGAAGAAAGGAGGAAAAATGTCTGGAAAACTGATATAGACAGAACTCCCCAAACCTAGAAAATCTTCCTTACCCCAATGTAAAGAAACAAAACAAGAAACAAAAACCCAACCCAACCCTAATTCAAATGTTGACAGAAAGCAATCCATTGCTGCAAATCAGGTATAGGTTTTT